TTTTCCTCCGGCGTACCTCCGGCGACAAACGCCGCCGCCGTTTCCACCGGTTCTCATTGGTCTACGGATCTGTCATCTGATTTGTACCGGGTAGATGGGTGGGGTGCTCCTTATTTCTCCGTGAACTCTTCCGGGGATATTTCCGTCCGTCCACATGGTACGGATACTCTTCCTCACCAGGAGATTGACCTTCTTAAGGTTGTGAAGAAGGCTTCTGACCCGAAAAATTTGGGTGGACTTGGGCTCCAGATGCCTCTTGTTGTCCGTTTTCCTGATGTTCTGAAGAACCGTTTGGAGACTCTGCAATCGGCTTTTGACATGGCGATTAATTCTCAAGGCTATGAGGCTCACTATCAAGGTGTTTATCCGGTGAAATGCAATCAAGATAGGTTCGTGGTGGAGGATATCGTGAAATTCGGGTCGCCATACCGATTCGGGCTGGAAGCCGGGTCTAAACCGGAGCTCCTGTTGGCGATGAACTGTCTGTCAAAGGGCAGTGCTGATGCTCTTCTTGTTTGCAATGGTTTCAAGGACACTGAGTATATTTCGCTTGCTTTGGTCGCAAGAAAGCTCCTTTTGAACAGTGTGATTGTGCTTGAACAAGAGGAGGAGCTTGACCTGGTGATTGATATCAGCCGTAAGATGTCTGTCCGGCCTGTAATTGGACTTCGTGCTAAGCTCAGGACAAAGCATTCTGGCCATTTTGGATCCACTTCTGGTGAAAAGGGTAAGTTTGGGTTGACAACAACCCAGATTCTTCGTGTAGTGAAGAAGCTTGATGAATCTGGAATGCTGGATTGTCTCCAGTTATTGCATTTTCACATTGGATCTCAGATCCCCACAACAGAGTTGCTTGCTGATGGTGTTGGTGAGGCCACTCAGATTTACTCTGAATTAGTCCGTCTTGGAGCTGGTATGAAATTCATTGATATCGGAGGGGGGCTTGGAATCGACTATGACGGTTCTAAATCAAGCAATTCTGATGTCTCTGTTTGCTATAGCATTGAAGAATATGCCTCTGCTGTTGTCCAAGCGGTCCTCTATGTCTGTGATCGTAAGGGCGTAAAGCATCCAGTGATTTGCAGCGAAAGTGGCAGGGCAATTGTTTCTCACCATTCAATTCTGATTTTTGAAGCCGTGTCTGCTTCTACTAGTCATGTTTCTACACAGCCATCTTCGGGTGGTTTACAATCCTTGGTGGAGACTCTCAATGAAGATGCCCGTGCTGACTACAGAAACTTATCTGCTGCTGCTGTCCGTGGAGAATATGATACATGTCTCATCTATTCTGATCAGTTGAAACAGAGATGTGTTGAACAGTTCAAAGATGGGTCCTTGGATATTGAGCAGCTCGCTGCAGTGGATAGCATTTGTGATTGGGTGTCGAAGGCTATCGGGGTTGCTGATCCTGTCCGCACTTACCATGTGAATCTGTCAGTTTTCACCTCAATCCCTGATTTTTGGGGCTTCAGCCAATTGTTTCCTATTGTTCCAATTCACCGTCTGGATGAAAAGCCTACAATGAGAGGAATACTGTCTGACCTGACGTGTGACAGTGATGGAAAGGTTGATAAGTTCATTGGGGGCGAATCAAGCTTGCCGCTCCATGAAATTGGAAGTGGTGATGGTGGGCGGTATTATCTGGGGATGTTTTTGGGTGGGGCTTATGAGGAGGCGCTCGGAGGACTCCACAATCTATTTGGTGGACCAAGCGTTGTTCGGGTGATGCAGAGCGATAGCCCTCACAGCTTTGCGGTGACTCGCTCTGTCCCTGGTCCATCGTGTGCTGATGTGCTCCGGGCGATGCAGTTTGAGCCTGAACTCATGTTCGAGACTCTCAAGCACCGTGCAGAGGAATTCTTGGAACAAGGAGAAGGAGAAGGCGAAGGTGTTGCCTTTGGATCTTTGACCAGCAGCTTAGCTCAGTCCTTCCACAACATGCCTTACCTTTCGTCTTGCTGCTTCACTGCAGAAGCCACTGCCAATGCCAATACCAATACCAATAATGGTGGCTATTACTATTACAGTGAAGACAATGCTGCAGCAGAGGAAGATGAGATTTGGTCCTACTAAACTCTGCTTGAAGTGTCTCTTGTTAGCATCTCCAGTTTGTTTTAGTTTGTGGTCGAGGTCGTCTGTTTTTTTATAATAATCCCACCCCTTAGTTTGGGTGCATGTTAATTACTTTTGTTTGCAATAGATGCAGTAGACTGTCATCTCCTATTGCAACTAAGCTTATGTTATGACCGCAATCAGTTTTATATTAATGCTGTCTTTTTTTGTTTCAAGTATTGAATCGCCTCCTTATGTTTGATGATGGTGTTAATTGAATCGCCTCCTTACGGGGGTAGGTGGCTTAGATTCGTTCATGATAATGTTTTATTTTGTACAAGGGAGTAGTAGGTGGAGCTGTATCATTTTTAACTTGTTTTAAGACATTGGTTCATCTTGGCACGTAGTTTAAGTTATTGTTGACATAGAGTGGCCTTTGAAACAGAAAAAGAGTTTTGCTTTTTTGGTCATGGTGGTGTGCGTATAAAATTCAATATATTTTATTTGCTTGTGTTGGCAAGAAAGATACGAATTGCCCCATATATCCACTACCATACCATAGGAATGAAGATAACAGATTTCTAATGTTGCTTTTTGTACAGTGAATGAGATTCCTTATCGGCAGAAACACTGCCATCAATTAGTGAGAATATTATAGATGGGACGCCTTTTTATTTTTGTTTCTGCCTAATTGTTTTTCAATATAGTCATTAAAACCTCAAAAATCTACACTCTTTCATTGACCACTAAGCCACATATTTAAGTGTGTCGTCTTTTAACTTCCTACACCGGAAATAAGGATACGATGGGATATAAAGTGATAAACGGTCTTTATATCCGTGTTGTTAGTTGTCATTTTCCTTGCCATGCAGAGAAGACTCATTGGGCCAGCATATAAAATTGGGAGCCCATAAAACTCCTTTTGCAAGCCCATTTATATAAGACTGTGAAACACCAGTCAATTGCAGGTTCAGTAGTTTCAACTTTCAAGCAATCAAAGAGAAACAACACACACAGAGAGAGCAGAAATGGCGATAACACTGAACAGCGGCTACAAGATGCCGATTGTGGGATTGGGTGTTTGGCGAATGGAAGGAAAAGATATGAAAGATCTTCTCATCAACGCCATCAAGATTGGCTACCGTCACTTTGATTGTGCTGGTAAACTACTTTTTCTTGATTCTACTTTCTTGCTCTTTTCATTCTTGAATCTTGATTATATACATAGAAATAGTTCCTCCGTTTGGATTGCTACATTGAATGTGATTTCTTGATTTTCACTCATGGATAATTCTGGATTGTATGACCACCATTCTAGCCCTAAAAGCGAGGTTTAAAACATGTTGAGCGTTTTGTTTCACTTAAATGTATTATCATCAAGTTAATAAGATAAACTTTTCCTTGTCAATGAGCTTTTTCCGAGGATACAGTATACAATTGGTTTTTCACTTTATTCTCCATATATTTGTTAATCGTGTTTAGGTTATTAGCCTTGGACTAAACATATATATTTGTATTTTTTTCTTTCCTCTATAGTCTCTAACATACCTTTAGAGCTTTTTTGCTTTTGATAATACTAGATACGTCCCCTCCCTTAAATCATTTTTAAATAGAGTATTGCTCCTTACAAGTTGGAGTAGTGGAGATTACATCTTTAAGTAAAGTTTCAGCTGCATCGATATTCTTCTACACGCGTTATGTCTACTTAGTTAGTAGATTGTTAAGTCCCGGGCTGGGATAGTTTATCACTTAACCATACATCTGCTAGTGGGAGGAGGTACCCGGTGGAACAAGTAAGCTGCTGGGACATACCTTTATGTTTTGAAAAATGTTTAAAGATGTATCTTTATGTTTAAGTGTGTGCACGTTGTCACAAACAAGTAATAGGTGTAATGCTCCTCTTCACTGCTCCACTTAACTTATGAATGTGTCTTTGCTACTAGATATGTTCTTGGATTATTGTGACCTGACATTTGGTAAGGCTTGCAGCTGACTATCAAAATGAAGCTGAAGTTGGGGAAGCACTCGCAGAAGCATTTCAGACAGGGCTCGTGAAGAGGGAGGATCTTTTCATTACAACAAAGGTTAGTGCAAAAATGTTAATTTCATCTGTCGACACAGTTTTAGCATTTCGCTGAGAATTACATATAGCTGGCAATGAATATCGACTCTCTCTTTTTGCAGCTTTGGAACTCAGACCATGGTCATGTTCTTGAGGCCTGTAAAGACAGTCTTAAGAAGTTACGCCTGGATTATCTGGATCTCTACCTTGTTCACTTCCCTGTAGCCACAAAACATACAGGTAAAGTTGCTGGTCCTTATTACCTTCGACTTCTTCAAAGTTTTGTGCACTTATCTCTTTTTTCCGTTTCCCTTTTTTGAGTTGTGAGGGGGGCAGACCATAACTAATGGCTGATACAGAATATTAGCTATTGCATTTTTATCATTCAGATCATGATTATTATGCTTATTGCTCATCTCACACTAAAGGATGTTGTACATAACAACTGTATGGCAAAAACAAACGGCTGGTATTTCGACAAGTACTTCTTGGATCAACGGCGCGTAGGTGATTGTTAGCTGAATATTGATGCTTAAATTCCCTGATTTCCAATTATTTGGTGATTGACTTCATACACCTTAAAACCCAAATGAACTATTCAGCAAAATCAATATTTGATTTCAATACATATAGTATTGATCTAAACATCTAGTAATCAATACTCTACTTCAATCTTGGCCTTTGCCCGAACTCAAAGAATTTTCTCTTTTTGAAATGGCGCGTTGTGTTTCTTCTAAATGTATTCAGGAGTTGGTACAACAGCTAGTGCTTTGGGTGAGGATGGTGTTCTTGATATAGATACCACCATATCATTGGAGACTACTTGGCACGGAATGGAAAATCTAGTATCCTTGGGCTTGGTTCGCAGCATAGGAATCAGGTAGGCTTACGACTTAAAAATCTGTACTAACCTTTATTCAGCTGCTATGGCCAGCAGATTCATTCTTCTGCTTCATGATACTACTGTGCTGTGGATAGTATTATTGCTGAAGTCAGGCATTTTTGACAAAAACCAGATATTGTTTGGCCATTTCTTCCATGAGTTTGGGTCGCTCCAATGCACTGACAAATATGTAGTGTTTCAACGAACAAACAAATCTGAAAAAGGAAATTTAATTCTTTAATACATATGTAGGCACTTCTTGAAAAATTGAAAATTGCATATCACAAACTTAACTGCTCAGTATTGCTTGAGATGAATTCATCCTTCTCGAAGTCATCTTGTCTTGTCTACAGCCCTTATAAAATTGTGAAAAGCCAACTCTATCACCTACATCTTTACATGTTTACTTTCAGTTATGGTGCATGACTACGTTAGTTTAGGCGCAAGCAGCAAGTTATCATGCTATGCTATTAAAATTTGAATTATTAATAGGCTTGTATTCTTACTCTTGCAATCGATGTGCAGCAACTACGACATCTTTCTCACCCGAGATTGCCTAGCATATTCCAAAGTGAAGCCTGCTGTGAATCAAATCGAGACTCATCCTTATTTCCAGCGTGAATCTCTTGTCAAATTTTGCCAAAAGCATGGCATCTGTGTTACAGCACACACCCCACTCGGTGGTGCTGCCGCTAATACTGAGTGGTTTGGTTCAGTGTCATGCCTGGAGGATCCGGCTCTAAAAGTAAATCGTCGTGCTCTTTTATTTTCCATATTTCATGAACTGTTCTTCTGGAAGTTTCACAAAAAATTTGTTTCATATTTGCTGGATTGAGGTTGTTTTGTGTTTTACTTATTGCATCAGGGTCTAGCTGAGAAATATAAGAAGACTGTGGCCCAGGTCATTCTGCGCTGGGGCATCCAACGAAACACAGTTGTGATTCCGAAATCATCAAAACTGGAGAGACTGCAGGAGAATTTCAACGTACTTGACTTCGAGATCACCAAAGAAGACATGGACCTCATCAAAAGTTTGGACCGCAACTATAGGACCAACCAACCTGCAAAGTTTTGGGGCATAGATCTGTATGCCTAAAAGCTTCATACTTGATGTCTCATTTTGACACCAAAGGCACCAGGATAGGGGGACAAAACTACTTAAGACCCGCATCTCATTTGAATATGAAAAAGTGAGTTTTTGTTTAGCATGAGAGAGACCATTTACTGCTATACCTATGATGTAGTTATGTTTTTTCCATTTCGAACTTGTGTACCAAGGCTGATGAATGATGGTTTACTTTCTGGGAGAATGTGCATGCCCCTTAACTCTGGGGCAACACATCTCCCATCCAACGGCAAATAAAGCTATTGGCTACTAAAATGCTGCAAAATTCTCTCTTTTACTTGATTTTTTGAAGAAAAAAAAAAGTGTGGAAGTATGATATTGTAAGTTTATAATTTGACCTGCAGGTTCTACTTTAATGACCTAATAGTTTGATAGGTCATTTTGAGTTCAACTCAAGTCCCACTCGTTTAAACTTGAACTAGTGGAGCAGATTACTCAAAAAGAGGTTGATTTGACACTTCAGCAGTAGCATCAATACTGTATAATGGGACTGAATAAAATCCTCAAAACACAAGACAAAAAATAAGGATTTATGGGCCAAACAGCAAAAATGAAGACCTTAGTGATTTTATTTCTGCAACATCCAACACTTCTTATTCATTATGTTTATGTTACATGATAGTTAAGGCAATAAGAAAAAACAAAAGGCAAAGACCAGAAGTACTCACTAAAACAACAGTTGGGCATATTCAGATCCATAGAGTTGTATCCATGGTTAGATCACAGTTTTTAGGCTAACCTAAGAAACAATTTCACATCGAGCTTGCAGAACCTATATATACATACACAAATCCGCTCAAAGAAATATATAGCAGAACTTGGTCATTGAGCATCAATAAACATATGGAAAAATAGCAAAACGATTCCTAGGATAGTTGTCAAACTTGTGCAAATACCATCTGTGTGTTTCTGCTGCTGCTAAGACAAGATTTGCCACCTGAAATTGCAACACGATGCATCACGCTGTAGCAATGAAAATGAACACCGAAGAATACAGGGTGGTGAACAGGGAGTGCTTCTCAAGATTTTGAATAGAGTTATACCGTGAATCCCCAGAGTAGCCATATAGTGAGGTCCGAACATCCACTAGCAACCACAAAGCCAGCATATACAACCTTAAGTACAAGTGAAAAGCAAAAAGGAACTTGTAAATTAGAGCCTGCAAAGGTCAGCTTCGTGTGTGTACTGAGACATGAAATAAATACTCCAAGAACATTAGTAAGAGAAAGAGAAGTTACAATCTCAGCCAAATAGTGTGGAGATGAAACATATTGAAACCAATCACCATAAGGAACTGCATATTCATCATTGTCTTTTCTGTTTTCCCTCAATGATCCCTGATTGGCAATGTAAAGATGTTATTATCACAGTGATCATCTAAGGAATTCTAAGGCTACCATCAATGAAATAACCGATACAAGCACACAATAACTACAGCTCAATGACCGACACAAACATAATAAAAGAATCAGTTGTCAAATTCAAAGAGAAATGCCTTTACGTTAACAGGGAAACTCGTAAAAGAAAATTTTACAAGCCAGCATAATAAGTAAAAAACAACAGAATGAAGCAACAGACATAGAAGTTAGTCAAACCTCTTATAAGCTCATGTACTTTTGTTGCGGCGTATTTTGCACCTCCATAATTATCAATAAGCTGAATTTCAACTTATTGCTTCAATTTGATTCAGCTTATTAATGAACTGAATTTATCCAGCGTATAAGATTTATTTATATAGATTAAAAAGAAGTGAATAAGCTCGGTTATTCACCTTCACAGGTTATTACTTCAACTATTGTATCATTATATGCTATCACATCAACCTCACTATCGGTTCATCCTTGTATTTGCAATCGAGAATCAACCATAAAAAGTCAAACCACATCCAATTATAATATCTAGAGCAGCTAAAGTTTTCAGATTTCACAACCACTCAACCACCAATGTGCCTTAGGAAAAAGAACTAACTCTAACAGTCGGTCTTAATGACAGTGAGATCCATCCCCCACTCACACATATCGACATTTAGAACCAACAAAATACTTAAGGTCAAGAATCCATATTCTTACCTTGATACAACCTTGACCAGATTGCCACAATTAATATACTTGGGTTTAGTCCATTACTGTGAATACATAGAGATTTACTTTTCTTTTATATAGGTGAAGGGCCAGCCTAGGAGAAACAGTAAAGCTGTCTCGGTGACCTATAGGTCATGGGTTCAAGCCAAGAAAGCAGTCACTAATGCTTGCATTAGGCTAGGTTGTCTACATCACGTCCCTTAGATGCGGCCCTTCTGCGGACCCTGCATGAAAGTGGGATGCTTTGTACACCGGGATTCCTTTTCTATAGGTAAATAATAGCAAAACCATTAATCACATGGAGGCAAATAAAAATTAGTTGACTCTAACTTGAAAATCAGAAGTCTTTTGCTTCATCTATTTAAATAATATGTCACACTTATTTCGTGCTCTTTAAGTTCAATTCTTGTAATATGATGATTGTGCTCTACTTAATCAAGGTGGGTGAGCTCTAGTGAATAAGAAGGGCTTAAGAGACCGAAACCATTAGGCGACAGGAAATATGATCAATACTTTTAACAATTTTTAGACTACAGTTAAACCCCTTTTTAGGGCTTTATTGAAAATACCAATAGCCTTTTTTCTTCCACGATATAAATTATAATAACCAAGTAATCCTCATATAGAAGAAGTAGGGCCCAAGGACAAGCACATAATATATTAACCAAGTAACAAAAGACACTCCTAACTTCAAAGACAAATCCAAATCCAAATCCATATTCAATAGCACATGCAACTTACCAGAATTGCATGACAACGGTGTTGATGAATCCAGCCCCAAAAAAATATAGCTGCACCAATCCATGAGTACCATTGTAGTTGAATGAGAGGGTTCAAAAATCTCCACCAATCAACCTCAGTTGCTAGCATCCTATCTTTTCCTTTGACAATAAACTCTTGAATCAAACTCAACCCGAACTTGTATACCTCTGTAGCATGATTGCAGCAAAGAGAGATGGGAACTGCTGTATAGAAACTTGAATCAAGGAAAAGAACAAATTCAGCAAGTGTTCTGTCCATCAGACAACTTGGAGTTGATGTGCTATGGAAACTATAAGAAGTTAGGCACTAAAAGAGAATATACTACTGTTGTCCAAACAGGAAATAGGGACTACGACTTCGATAAAGTATGAACCATTTCAAACAATTTTCTATACAATTACAATGCAGTTTATCAAAACTAAAGTCTAGTTGGAAATTCTACATATAGATAAAGACTATATGCTCCATAAAAAGATAGACATGTAATGGTCAAAGATTAGATCCTTTTACTAGGCCATGGATATTTTTATCAAAGTAAATATATGATGGCCAAAATTGAAGTTCCTATTAAAGAAAGAAAATAACACACCAAAAAGAAAAAGGAACAGACACACAGAACACACCAGGAGTCAACTGTGCCCTTAGACAGTCTACAAGTAATCCACCATGACTATGGCAAAGAATGTTACTTACCAGCTGATAAAACGCAACAAGAAATATGGAAATATTTACGAAAAAAAGAGACAGTAAGATACCAACTTACAATAAACCTGTGAGGTAGCCTAAAATGTGCATCCTGGCTGAAGGACTATATTTGAAAACGTATATTGACTCAAACAGGCGTCGCAGTACTTGAGCTTCCATTAATAAAAGAAGAAAGATCGATACAGCAATCCTGCTTCTATGTTCCTTTGATGTATGAGAACTGTGCGAAGAGAAGATACGCGATCCTCCCGTCAAGTGGCTAGCAATACTAGAAAAAAGCAATGGTTCTGTGATCTTTGGCATTGTACAATAATCATAAAGCCAGGTTGCAACTAACAGAAGTGTTGTCCAAACAAAAGCTAGAATATAGAAGTGAATGAAGAGTTTCTGTGGAACAGACAATTTCTGCAATTGAACAAACCAAAAAGAGTGTCAGGTCAATTAAGTTGTTGCAGAAACTTTTTGTTCTTGTAAAAGTTGCAGAAATTCTCATTTTCATAGAAAAAATCAATTGCCAGAGAAGAAACAAATTGATATTTAAAATAAAAACTAGTCATCATCGATATAACACAGTTGTGCTTGCAACTAAAAACTTACTTTATTTATACATAATAACAAGTACTTTGAGGGTTCATTTCTACCTCATACAAGGGTTGCAAAGACCACATACTTAAGCTTGTAACATGCGACAAGTGACCATGTACTTGAAATAGAACTTTGTATCAAGACACAGGTCACCAAATAATTGAAACTGAACGTTACTTCACAATACAGATTTTTTTTACTAAAGTTGAAACAACAAGTGCAAGGCGAACATGGCATGATAGAGTACACACTAGGATCAAGAAAGATATATTAGCGCTTCGCTTCAGAAGATGAAAACCTACCAAAAGAGAGAGAGAGAAGATAGACTCAACGAACAAATTAGACAGTGATGTCACATATTTCTGAAAGGTACATTTCCAGTATTCATTAATGTATCAGTCAGACAACTACCAAAGGTTGATCAGTACAACACTCAGCTAGTAACAATGAATCAGTTCAATTTGATAGGGATTCTATCCCTAAATTTTCACAAGCCACATTCAAATTAAATCAGTTTGAATGGAGGTTATCTATCTGGTTCAGTGAAGATGATTAGAGATCCTGTAGCAGTGGATACAATCAACACCCAATTTCACCCCAAAATCATGTGTTAACAGTTGTATCCTGCTCAGATACCCTTCTAATTTGCTTAGCTCCAGCCTTCGGGGGATCAGACTGTAGATTTTGCAATGCAGCAGTGAGACACCAAATTTGCTGAGTGAGATGCTGCTGTAAAAGAAAGGGGCAATGCAATTGCTTCCCTCTACTCTCTCGAAAGTGCGCGCCTCTATCCTCCAAGAACAACCTTAAAGCCTAGAAATATCAATTGCCTAGCAGCAATTAAATCCATTAGCCTTGTACCATTGACCACTACATTCCCGCTCTAAACATCTTCAGATAGCTTAAATCTCACTTCTTTAGTCATGAAACCAAACCAAGATTGAGATATAATGATGTAGGAGAAATTGTAAGCAGAACTAACAAGTTTTGTGTTCAGCTCGTATGGATTACAAAGCATGGTCTTTGATTGTTAACATGCCAGAATACCATTTCCTAAACATGCAAGGTTGTGGAAGTCGTGAGGTTGAGACTCTGAAACTACAGCTTCGATGCAGTTTGAGGAGGGGGGAAATATTCATTATCATGTAGTTATTGTATTGTCAGAGAAATATTCAGTCATGTAGTTATTGTATTGTCAGAGAACTATTCAGGTGGATGCTCAATTGTGAATACAGAAAGTTGAGCTAGTCGTTGGGTACACTATTTCTTTCGGGAACCACAATTACAGGCCAACGGCCAAATAATATACATTGATTAATCTTAGAAGAAAAACTTAAACCAATTGAACTATACAATGCTTGAATGTTTAGTGATTTCAAAAGAGATTGTAAGAACACAAACACGCAAGCAACAAGATTTCAATTTTTGAATGAATACTTACATTTGATGAAGACTGCATAATCTTGCCACGCTTAGCAAACCCTAACACGAATTTTTGAAAAAAACTGATCTTGGATGAAGGAATCAAAGCGATAACAACGGGCAATATCGCAGCAACCCATGCAGCTCTCAACAGGGTGACCAGCCCTAACTCCATTTCTACGAAATCCCACAACAACAACAACGAAAAACAACTTTAGTTCAAAGTCATAAATGGGGTTTCCAAATTCCTACTGATTATCAACAATATAGAGTTACCAGAACTGAATGAATATAAAAAGATACAAACTTCAATGAGTTCACGGGAAAATGAAGGGAAAACAGGGATACCATATAAATTGTGGGTCCTTAATGCCGTGAAGTATTGAACATGCTATGCGTTAAGGCTCGATATTCAAGAAAACTTGAAGAAGAAGAAGAAGAGAAGATTCCATGGCATTTGCTTCCCACCGTAGGAAATTCAATGCTACTGTGGAAGGTGTGAAGTGTAGAGAGTGTTTTGGAAAATAAAAATGACACTATTTTGAAAAATCAATTTAACTTAGGTTTTAAAGAAAAATAACTTTTAAAGTAACTTGATAAATTTTCAGAAGATCGTAAAATAGAGAAAAAAAATCTTTTAAAATTCAAAGAGAGTTAGAAATTCAATTTACGTTTTGAAAAGGTGTTAGCCCTTGAAATGTCCTTCATCAACGACTTGACTAAATATTTAAATTCTTTTAAAAAAAATATCACCAAGTAATAAAATCTACTTTTTTATTTTTAAGGAAAAATAATCTAAAGCATAGAAAAATAATTCATGTTGACAAGATAACTAATAAAATAATTCATAAAGAAAATAAGTAATAAATAAAATATAAATATTTTAACTTGAGCATATAAGTAGAAAAAATGACTTGCTTTTGGAAATTTAATTTAAAGTAAAATCTATTAAAATAAAAGATTAGTTAATAAAATGAAAAGAGAGAAATTTGAAGTTGGGTTCCTTGTCCAAATTCAGCAAAAATTGGGCCTCTAGGCCCACCTTCCCTAATTCTAAGCAGATTGATTTGGGCCTTGTCTATCTGCAACACAACTGAAATTCATGGGTTTAGGCCCAAATTGTCAAAATATACTGCTACTCATTTCAATTTTCGCTTGGACCTGCTGGTTGAAATTTCCTAGACTTTTGGTCCACTTCCCTGTATATTCTGCGTATATTGGGTGTATACTATATCCCACCCATTTTGAGCTTTCCGAAACCTGAAATTCGACTTAAACCTTGTATTTCTGCATTTCTCAATATTTCCATATTTTCGTCTGTATACCAGTGCATACATCGTGTATACAACTCAGTTTCTGGATTTTGGAGACTTAATAAGTTCATTCCAGTTTTGTATTGGACTTGCGAAACCTGTATCAGCTTCCAAAGACCTGTTCACCGACTTCACAATTTGCCATGGGGCTGACTCGAGAAATATGAACCATTGGGAGGTGCAAGATATCGAGACAGAATCTATTTGGACTCAAAAAGGGATTTGGTAAGAAAACAAAACAAAAACAGATAAGAATTAGTACCAAATTCCGATAGAAACTAGCAACATGGAACACTGATAAGAAAATCATGGGAATAAATGATATGAGAAGACAAGGCACAGATATAGGGAAGGGACAAGAATTTAGTTGTCCAAGTTTTATAAGGAGTCCGTCCACCCATCTCATTAACCATCGATGTGGGACTTTAGTCATTCTTTAACAAATTTTAATATTTCTCAGAACAAAGCTAAGAACTCATCGACTTTAATGTGAAATAGAAGTAAAAATCGATGCATTAAGAAATAGAGTGAGAGAACAGACATTCGAAGCATAATGAATTAATCTATTCAAAACTCTTATGATTCAATCAAACAAGAAACAACAATGAGGAAAATTGTAGGTTAAGCTCAGTCTAAAACATATATGGCAAGCTCTTCCCTTAAACAGTGGAAAACAACAAAGCAAGTTCATCCAAGTTTAAGACTCGCAAGAGTTGTGCAGCTATACTGATTGTAGAAGTTGAAAACAACCAAATTCATATGCTAAATGAACTACAGCTTAAACTGATAATTAACCACTCTTATCACAAGAGCTACTGCCCCCAACAAAACCGAATAATCGAACACCGCAATGTAATCAACTACCACCAAATCCAGATTGATTTAATGACTTATGCAGGCTGATGCAACTTATAAGAAAAAACTCGGATCAATATGAGGAACTAAAAGAAGACAAACAGAAAAGAGAAAAACAAGAGCTTGTAGTAAGCTTAACGTCTAAAAAGAAAAAACAAAGCCTCACATTTTAAAAGCTCAACTGCAAATAGCAAACACTACTTGACTCAAATGAGCGATAAGACAGAGAGAGACAAACTAAGCTAATGGGATGGCTTTATCAATCAATTTTTCAAAAACTCAGACTTAACGCTAACAGTAACAAACCAGATAAAGAAACATTGATGCTTGAAGACGTATAAATGAAAAAAGCTCAGATTTGGCGACATTCGAATAGGTAGAACAATGGAAAAATGATATTAAACCTAAGCCAAATGGATCACTTCAACACATCGTCATTAAAAATCAATTATTCATAGCAACGAAATACTAACTTCACTAAATCGAAACGTTTTACCGAAATAGAAAAAGACGAAGAGAGCATTACTTTTTCCGGGCAGCATGCCGCTTGATTTTTCGAGCACCGAGATTTCACCACCAGTCCCGATTCTCGAATATTCTTGCGAGTGAGCAGGGCTGTTGGTTCGCAATTTTCGCGTGAAGAAGAAGACGCTGTACCGGGTCGTTCTGGGTATGTATTGGAACTGTTGGGTATATTGTATGTGAATTGGATCAGGTTGAGTCTTTTCGGTGGGCTACTGTCACGGACCTAACGATTCTGACAATACTCCGTGCGGCACTTGATGGTTTGCTCACAAATCTTTCACGTTCTTGCAAACTCAAGTAAGCCTTAAACTCGGATCGCTAAGAAAATAAGAACAAAGACACAAAGACAGAATTTCGGAAGAAGGACTTGTATTACTTGTTGGATTATTGGATGATTTACAAATGAAAGACTACTACTATTTATACTATTCTAATTCTAAGAATAAAGTGTTGATTTACAAGTCCTATGTACATGCTTCATATCCCTAGAAGATGTCTCATCTACTTCTGAAAAGGCTCCTAAAATCATTCTAGTCTGCCTCAAAATCTGCCCCCAAGGTCAGCTCCAAGACTCTAGGCAAGCCCCTCCAAGTCCCTTGGGACGCCTGGGCTGCTGACTGTCGACTGCCTGTTGTTGGGCCGCCTGGGCTGCTGCCAGCATTGGGCCTGTTGGAACAGGCTGCCCAACAAGCTGCTGCGGTTTGGGCTGGAAAAGTGGCGAGACGTCACAATCTCCCCCACCTAATGATGCGACGACCGCGACGCATCGCTGCAAAAATTCCTGAACTTTGTCCTTGAACTACCACAAGTCTTCGTACTTTTCCCATGTGGCTTCTTCAGGAGTCTGTCCCTTCCAATGTACGAGGAACATAGCGCTGGCTTGTTGTCCTCGTTTCCATTTGGCTTGGTAATCTATGATGGCTTTGATCTCCCGATCATGCGAGGCAGTGATAGTGATAGGGGCCCGTTGTGACTTGTTCCGGTTAGGATCGTCCTTATCTTCATGATATGGCTTAAGGACGCTTGCATGAAAGACCGGGTGGATTTTCAAGTGTGGAGGCAACTCCAACTTGTATGAAATTTTGCCCACCTTGGCAACAATTTTGAACGGACCCTCATACTTACGCACTAGATTATGATGGACGCCTCTTAGTGCCTTAAACTGCCTCGGATTGAATTTTACCAAAACCATGTCGCCTTCTTTATAATCTGTGGGACGACGCTTGCGGTCGGCGAACTTTTTCATTCTCTTCGCTGCCTTATCCAAGTAAGATTTGGCAGTGTCGAGTTGTTCCTCCCAGCCCTTGGCAAGATGGTAAGCACCCAAGCTCTTCCCCTCAAATGAAGTCGGCAGTGAATGGGGAGTTTGGGGTTGCTGACCTGTTGCCAACTCGAATGGGGTGCGCCCAGTAGACTCGCTCTTCTGTAAATTATAAGAAAACTGTGCCATGTCTAAGAGCCTAGCCCAATCTTTCTGATGCGCACTGACATAGTGCCTAAGATAACACTCTAACAATGCATTGACGCGCTCTGTCTGGCCGTCAGTTTGGGGGTGAAAACTTGTGGAAAAATGAAGCTTTGAACCAAGAATTTCAAAGAGTTCATTCCAAAAATTCCCGGTGAAACGAGGATCTCGATCGCTAATGATAAACCTCGGCAGCCCCCAATACTTCACTACATTTTTAAAGAACAGTTGTGCAGCTTCCTTGGCAGTGCAACCGGCTGTGGCTGGCATAAAGGTAGCATATTTAGAAAATCTGTCTACCACGACCATTATAGTGCCAAATCCATTCGACTTCGGTAAGGAAGTAATGAAGTCCATAGTGATGCTCTCCCATGGACGATCTGCTACGGGAAGTGGCTCCAACAGCCCTCCTGGTTGTCTTTGCTCCACCTTATCTTGTTGACAAACAAGACAAGTCTGCACATACCTCTCAATATCGTCCCGCATACGTGGCCAGAAGTAAAGAGCTTCAATCAGCGCCCTTGTCCTTCGTTGACCTGGATGCCCCGCCCATGGCGTATCGTGGCTCTCCTTTATAATCCGCCGTCTGATTGAGCCGAACTTTGGTACATAGATTCGCCGGCCAGTGGTAAGCAAGACCCCGTCTTCTACCCAAAAACGCCTGGTTCGGCTTTGGGCAGCAAGTTCCAATATCTTCTTGGCTTCTGGATCATGCTGCATACCGTCCTTGATTGCGCCTTGTAAATCACAACGAGCTGAAGAGATAGCCGCTAGATCAGCCTTCCTGCGTAAGGCATCAGCCACTACATTGCCCCTACCTGGTTTGTATTCCAAGGTATAGTCAAATTCTGCCAAGAAGTCTTGCCATCGAGCCTGCTTCGGTGTGATCTTCTTCTGTGACTGAAAATAGCTAGTGGCAACATTGTCAGTTTTTACCACGAACTTGGAACCCAAAAGATAGTGTCTCCATGTACGCAGACAATGTACAATGGCCGTCATTTCCTTCTCTTGCACAGTGTATCGACGTTCAGCTTCATTCAACTTCCGGCTTTCAAATGCTATAGGGTGTCTTTCCTGCATTAAGACTCCCCCAATGGCAAAATTAGAAGCGTCCGTATGGATCTCGAAGGTCTTGGTGAAATCAGGCAGCATCAAGACTGGTTCTTCAGTAACCGCAGTCTTCAGACCCTCGAACGCCCATGGCCTGTTCTTCTTCAGTAGCTCGGTCAGTGGGGCGGCTTTGGCTGAGTACCCACTAATGAACCTGCGATAATAATTCGCAAGTCCAAGAAATGTACGCAGCTCGGTCACTTTGGTAGGCGCTTCCCAATCTTGGATCGCCTTTACCTTTGCCTCGTCCATACGAAGTTCACCTTGACTGATCACATATCCCAAAAAGTGTATTTTGGGTTGTGCAAACTCGCACTTCTCCCGCTTAACATAAAGTTGGTTTTCCCGCAAGATCGTAAAGACTTTCTTTAAATGCATCACATGCTCCTCCAATGTGTCGCTATAGATGACAATGTCGTCTAAGTACACCACTACAAACTGA